CCAGCATAGACGGTGGAGTGATGAAGGTCACGTTAATTTGTGCCCTGTACTTTCCTCTTCTTTCATCACCTCCGTGCATTTGCCATTTTTCTCTGGCCAGTCACAAAACACCAGCTTCCTCAGTCTGACGACAATGCCAGTATATTGAGCTGCAGGAACTTAGCTAATTGATTTAAAAATAATTTAGAATACCTTTACTCACTATTCCTGTCCCAGGCTGGTGAAAATTGGAAGTGCCCGTTGCAATGTGAAACCACTACAGCTTTTGGACACCATCCTGATCAATTCATTAATGTTACTAAATTTTATTTACTGAATCGACAGAGGTTTGATTCACAAAAAGTGACTGTAGTTTGTCACTGCAATGATGTGTGGGAATCTGTGAGAAATGGCATGATGCAGAGTAGAAAGGCAGGTTCTTGTGGCAGGAGGGATATTGTCTAACACAGAAATGACTGACCAAGTATTTCTGTTGCTTATTCCACCAGCAATAGTCTGAATCTCTTCCTGATCATTTTGAGGCTTATACCCCCTCCCTTGCTTTTTTGGGGGGTGTGGAGGGGATATAAAAATATAGTTTGTAGTTTATTGGGGGTTACTTTGTGGTGATAACATATTCTGGAGCTGGACTTTGAAAGCCTATGTATTTATTATGGATTTGCTTGTGCTCCAGGGAGGCTTGGCCTTGATGAGATCTCAGTCTCATCTTACTTGCAGCATTGTGCACAGCAGTGTCTTTCCAGGTCTGCTGTTCTAGGAACCTGTTCGTATCTTTTTCACAAGTGAAGTGATGCGTGATTAAAAACGTGTCTTACAAAAAGTGTCATCGGGGTTTCTTGATGTGCAGTGTAAAAACAGTGAGGAATACAGTCAGCTGGTGAAAAACCTCTTGGATCACTTTTAGCAGACACTGAGATAGCCAAAGCAATGTTTTCTCCTATTTTGAATAGACTATGTGTTTTCAGGCGGAAGCTGGGTATGAAAGGACTTTTAAAAATACATCCCATACTACAAAGCTTCAATGGTGATTTTGTTTACTGTGCCAGCTAAAAAAGCAGACAGGAATGATATTTTCGGAAAGAGGAAACCAAGTAGGAAAGAAGTACCCCCACACATCTTGCACGCAGGAGGCTGCTGCAGGGACTGTGTTTGTCCTGTGATGAAATACAGCAGAAATCTTGTACTTTCTGTGCGAGCTGGAGGCATGAAGAACGTTATAGGGCCATAGGTAGGGCTAAGAGTAGGTAGATCTGTCCTAGAACAACAGTCTGCTGCTGTACAGGTAATTCACGCACAGATGCCAAAACCCAGGTTTGTATCTTTCTGGGAGCATGAGGATATACAGAGCTCAGTACATGTTGCAGAATTTGGCAGCAAAGTGCAAGGGGTTGTAGTGAGGAACTCCTAACTCTGCTGTGCTCATGGGGCAAGCCGTGCCCTGAATGACTTTCTGCTCATTTTCCCAGGAAAAAGCTCCACACAGCCTTGGCCTGATCAGTGTTCGCAAGTGGGCACCTCAGCCTGATAGCCGTGTGGTGCATAGTCGGGTACCAGCAAGGGGTCAACACTGTGGTTGAGGCAAAGATGCTAATGCTGCAGGGGGTCCAAGGGTGGGAGACCTTTGCAGCCTCCAGAAGGAGGTTCTTCTTGAGGAAAGGAGGAGTGACAAAGCCCACTGACTAGCAGAGATCCTTGCTGTGGATGCTTCTCCCTGTACTCGGCTCAAGAGAACCTGGGAGGCTGTGGGAAAATGCTTCTCTTAACAACTCCCTGAAATGCTGACCACTGCCGGGTAAATTTGGGCAGTTACCAGGATGAGTGTCCTGGAGGAGAGCTGGGAGGCAGTGAACAGGACAGCAGTGAAATAGCAAATGAAAGCGTGTGTTCAGCCAGATTTTCTACACGCTTCCAGACACTGTTAGATGGGATGGCCCAGAACCAAAATCCCATCAGGGCTCCTGGGTGGCCCCTTCAGTTGTGAGGCTGGGAAGTGTGGATGGTCCTTCTGGCTATTGTCTCATCCCTCTGCTGGCAACAGTGCAAAGTTGCGTGGGAAGAAAAAATCAGCATTTCAGGAGTCCTGTAGTGAAGGCAGAGCTGAGGTAAGAGGGGAACTTGTATTCCCACCAATATGCTCAGTATTTCCGTTTGTAAAAAATGTAGCAGACAATACGGATTTTGACAGTTCCCTGCAGCTGTTACCAATGCGTGTCTGAGAAACTGTGAATTCCCCTATGTTTTCCTTCAAAAATACAGGCATAGGACTGACTTGCCGTCCACAAGGAGAGAAGGGGAGTTCAGTGCTGGATGCATCTTTCTTTTGGGTTCCTGGGCTTGTTCTGCAGCTCTGGACTGTCCTCTTTGTGGGGCTAGAGTGTAGATTTGAAGCTCTCACTTCACTGCCAGGGGAAGGTGACAATTTGGGCTTAAAAAGCTTTTCATCGTCATCTTTTTGCTTTCATTCATTGTTATATTCTGTGTTGCTTAACAGTTTGGAAATGAAAATAATTTTTATAAATTCTGTGAGGATATGAGAGTTCATTTATAAACCTGAAAACAGTACAGTAGATTGGAAAATATGGTCATGGCCGTGTGCACTTTAATGGAACAAATTCCATTGCACTTGCACCTCAGTCCTCTGCACTCCTCTGGCTCATCATTGGCATAGTATTTCATGTGTATTTCATTGGAGCTTTGTAAATGTGTATCTGTGCTGATCTACTTTGTGTTTTAGAATCTAGGAGCTGACTTGGCTGCTCTCCAGCTCTGATAATGGTTCTGCAAGAGGAAATGCCTAATAGATGCTTGTGAATGAATTAGTTTCCGGTCTGGATTTATTTTTCTTTTTCCTTTTCACAGGTCTCTCAGGCAGCTGCAGAACTCCAGCAGTACTGTATGCAAAATGCCTGCAAAGATGCCTTGCTTGTTGGGGTTCCTGCAGGGAGCAATCCCTTTCGAGAACCCCGATCCTGTGCTCTTCTCTGATATCAGGTAATACAGTCACAGATAGCACGACAACAACTCTGATTTGAAACTCAAGTCTGAGGAGACCTGATAGTTTATGCCGAGTTCTTGGTAGCGAACCCTGCTGGCTCTGCAAATTTTCTGTTTCTTTTAGGTGCGGCAATTGAAGCTTGTCTTTTTCCTACAGCTCTTTCTAGAGGTGTTTTGTTTATGGGGTTTTTTTTCATTTGTTCGGTTGGGTTTTGTGTTTGAGCAGCTCTAGGGTCATTAGCAGCATCCAAAATAAGAACTGTCCATGACACACAGCAGTGTTTGACACAGCTGGAGAGAAAAGCCAGTCACATGCCCAGCTTGAAGAAGTGAGACAAAGCCGTGGCAGTTCAATGTGTTCTGATGACTAGCTCACAGCTTAAGCAAGAACCTTGTCTTCAACGTCATACTGCAGTTCATTTGGCTGTCTGTCCCTAGGCTGTTTCTGTGTTACTGTTGGTACAGCACCTAAAGGATTGGAACAAGAGGAGCTGAGGCAATCTGTAATTGCATCCCTCGTAACCTTTTTCAGCACATGTCTAAAGGATGAGATGCTCCCTACACTCTGTCTGCCTTTGTGCCCTGCGTTGCTTGTAACTGCCTAACACCTGCAGGGTGGCTGGGTGACCATCCAGCATTTGCAAATCTTTGGGATCCAGTTCCGTGGTTCCCACTCTTGTCTCTCCCATCTGTCACACAGGTGTCAGTGACTGCAGTAGGAGGAAGAAAGGCCATGTGTGCTGGCACTCTTGAGCAGGATCACACCATAACTTTTGTTGGAAAATGGTATTTCTTCAGCATGACAAACAAATGTGGAAGTAGGATGTAGGATATTCAGAAGGAATTACTATTCTTTAAAAGAAAAAATAAAAATAATTCCTGCAAAAGAGCTGAAAAAACTACAGGGAAAGGAAGAACCAGTGAATTCTGTTCTTTCTTTGAGAGTGCTATCAAAGTGAAAACGAGTGTTTTCTTTAAGGGCAGAATTTAAACTAGAACAGAAAGTACTTGCAGAATCTTCCCCTTCCTCCTGCCAGGGTTCCTGAGCTTGCAGTTGTGCTTATGCCTCACCAATAGCGTGGTTTTGATTGTTGCTACATAGGTTTGAAAAAACAGGATTGAACCTGAAGAAAGAGAACAACTGAGCATAAAATGCTCTTCTGGAAAAACGTGGCGAGGGGTGGGAAGCACAAGCAGAGGATCTTCTTAATTTAGGTGCTACACTTAATTCTTCCTGCAAATAAGATAAAATCAATAGTGACTGTTGCATGTGTTCTGTTATTGAGGCAGCCTTTCTGCTTTTTCTTTTTTGTGTCTCTATGTGTGTATGTGTGTATTCTAGGATTCAAGTTTGATTGCATCATCCAGACAGGGTATGAAACATTTTCTCAAACGAGTTTCATGGTTAATTTATGATATTTTTAGAAATGTATAGCTCAGCCCAAGATGTCATTTAGTAATCTCTTGCTGATAGATCAAATATCTAGTTTATTATTATTTAGTTATCTTAGGATCATAAAAAAGACAGCAAAGTCAAAAAGCCAATTAAAAAATTTTACAATATTCAAGGATGCCAGCATCCAACAAAGGAAAGTGGTTATTCAGTTTTTCTCAGTGCAAAGGAGTTTTTGTGTTATCATTTGTAAGAGAAATGTATCAGCTTAGGAAGACAGCATTTAATAAACCTTTTTTTTCTCTTATAGGGAAGGTCATCAGAGAGTTGCCATCAAGCATGACATGAATAACAACTTCCTTCACAAGAAAAGTCTTTCTCTGTGTCCTGACTTTTGTGTGGCTAAAACAATGACCTAGATATTTATCTGATTGTTCTTGTGTACCCGTACTTCACTAGATTTTGCTAATGTTCTTAAAGTTTTTTAATGTAACTCTTACTCTTCATAATCATCACCATTGTTACTACAGTGTGCTAACTATACAAATATTACTTGAGAAGTTTACATCTTAGAAAAGAAAAACACATGAATATTTACCAAATTACTCTTATCTTGGCAAACTGTTACACCAGAATGATAGCAAAACCTATTTGTATTTTCCAAAATAAAACATCCAAAAAGTGAATCTTTAAAGTATAAAACTAAATGCTGTTAGTACTGAACTAAGGTTCTTGGGGGGGGGAATTGTGCTTCCATTAGCAAGACCTGGAACCAACTACAGATTTTTTCAAGTGCATCTAAGTCTGTTAATGACACATCTTACAAACTGCTGGACACAATGTGTAGCACAGGCTTGATTCCTAAGGCATGTTTCTTACAAAACTTCTGATCTATAATACTTCTCCTAATTCGTATTTGTAAAGGTACTGCAGTGGTGGAATTTCCTTGACATGTTTAAAATGCAAACAGACACTAAAAATCCATGAACACCCAAAGATGCTTGCATGCATAATTATCAAGGTTTGCAATACACAAAACTTACTAAAATGTGCTTTGTCGTTTGCCTTCAGTTTTTTATAGAGCACTTTTACAAGGACAACTAACTTTTTTAATAGGTTTTTAATTTTGTCTACTTTCTGTTGTTTGTATTAATCTTTTAGAAGTTTGGAAATAAAATTCCTTTCCCTTTTGAACTCATTGTTTAATTGTAACAAAGAGCAGTTATTGTAATGAAAAGGATGCTTTAATTTTGCAGTGGGAAGGGAGGCCTCAAGCTATTTGGCTTTTTGGGAAGAGAAGGTTGTTATTGATTTTTAGAAAACGTGTCGTCTTAATAGAAAAATCCTATTTTGTGGTGCATTATGGTAAACTGTGGTAAATACCATTTTTGTGGTGAATAGTAACAATGTTATCAGGCTTACATGTTTTGAAACTGTAAGGAAGAACTTTGCAGTCTGAGTATTTAATTTTCATTAATGTTAACTGAAATGGAGCAAAGAGTGTCCTTCAGGCAGTTCAATCTTTGTCAAAAAATTTTCAAGCTTGCTGTCCTGCAGGAAGACACTGAAATGAGAGTCATAATACTGCCAATATGTATTGTGCCTCTAAACACAGATGAGAACATCTTTCCTCAAGAGCTCTTCTTGGCTCTAGCTTCCTTTCATTGTAGGTTATTTGAATATGGCAGTTTTTCTTTCAGTACTTGACATGTGCCCACACCACAGAAGTCTAGAGGAAGCACAGTTATTCTTACTTGCACAGAGGTGATCAGAGGCTCAGATTGAGGTCAAAATGCTTAAATCTGGGAGGGTGGGAGAGAGATGAGAGTAGGCATCAAACGTCTTTGAACAGCCAGCATCTGGCTGCTGGCCACTCCCACCCAGGCAAGCCCTTTGTATTTTTTACCTCCTGCAATAAAGCCTCCCCCTGTCCCCACATCTGTTTCTCTCCCCAGGACACCCTTGCTGCATATGCTTTCTGGCTTAGCATCCTCACTTGGAACTTGGGTTCTGGAGTGCTTGCTGAGCTGGCATGAGGAGCTACCAAATTACAGTGTGCAGCAGAGAGCAGCCGCTGCTAGCCAGCCAGTCAGCTGCTGTTGTCTCTTGGTTGTCCTGCCCAGTTCCATGTGGTATCTTTCAGCTGGAGCACCACGGTCAACATGTATTGGAGGAGGAGCAGCACTGTGAGCATACGGCAGGTCCTGACCGCATCCACATCTTGCACCAGCAGTGGGTAGAAAGACCTGTGAGATGGATCTAGAGCGCTCCCCCCTGGTGTACCTGTGAGCATGGTGGTTATTTTGCAGTCTCATGGGAGGAAGACATGGATTTGTCTCTTCAGAGGAGTGTGCTTGCCGCACCCCTTTGCTCTCAGGGCAGCTTGTGGCTGAGCTGCTGGGTACAAGCAGGGAGAGGGATGACAGCAATGCCACCTCTGCCCTCCCCAGGCACAGTCTGTGGCAGAAGTCGGGTGTTGGAACGAGCTCCAGAATATGGCTGGTTGGCGTTGAGGCTCCTAGGTTCCTGTGGGGAGTCAGTTTTATGAAGCGTGCCACTGCTGGTTATTGTGTGTGGGCTAAATGAAGCAGCCTGCATCTTAGCAGCTCAGCTTTTGCAGGTCCTGTTGTTTGAGCTAACTGAGGAACCTGACAAATGAGCCTGGGCAGCTGTTTGCTTATGCAGGCAGCAGAACAGGGTGTCTCTTACTGTCCCCGTCAACAGGACAATGTCTCATCTCCAGCTGCAGGTGCACCAGGGTTTGCACTGATTTGCTTAACTGAACACTGGGATGGCTTAGACAGGGACAACCCCTGCTCTAACAGATATAATCTGCAGTGGGGTGGACAAGTGTGGACAACAACATCTTGGCTTCCTTTATGAAAGACCATCCAAGAGGGCTGCCTGCTGAGGTCTCAACTCTCCACACACTGCACAGAGGCCTTCATACCAGTCTCATGGCAGCAGATCCCACAGGATGCCCACAATAAAGCCAATTAGGTGAGTGCAGACATCTGTATGCTAAGTGCCTCACACAAGCCACAAGGCCCCCTTTTCTTACCGTCTAACAGCAAGGTTCCCCTCCATCTACAGGTGCCACCTGCCTGGTCACTAAGCAATTTACAAATTTGATCCAAGAACTAAGTGTCCCTACCTGCTGACGGAGGACTGGTGAGGAATTGTTGTATTGCATCTTTTTGTCTGAGAATTAGCTGCTCCCTAATTCTTAGTTACAAATCATTTGGGGCAGGGGGACGACAAAGTGCATCTTTATAGTGCAATAGTAATTTTCCTCCACATTCAACAGATGGGAGTAGGAAGGAGAATGTCACACGTGATAAATTTGTCAATGTACATATCTGTGAGAGATTGAGAGTCATAAACAAACAAATACAGTAAAAAACAAGTGGTCATTGCAAGCCCTTTTCCTTATTTTCTACTACGCTGCCAGTAACTAACTGTTCACTGACATCTTTTTCTTCTTAATGGAAACTTAATGCAGGCAGCACTTGAATTTTCTTTACTCATTTAATGTAGGCAATATGCCTTTATTTTCAAAGAAGTGATCTGTAGATCATCTGAGCTAGTTTTCATGAACGTAACTGTTGATGTGAAAGTTCTGGTGTCAGCCTTTGCCTGTGGGAAAGGAGAACATAAATACATAGCTTGGCAGTGGCAGCTATAATTTTCTCCACTGTGGTCATCTGTGACTGAGACTTTGTAGAGCTGCACTCTTAAAAGAACAGATTCCTGGGCCTGGCAGTTTGGAAGACAGTTCTGAAAAACAGCCAAACCCATGATGCAAAGAGATGGAAAATGGTTAGGCCAAGTGACCACAAAAATGGGCCAGAAATAGTAAGCAAGCAAACTGCAATTTTTATTTAAGTCTTTCTCTTATTCTGGGCAAAACAGGGAAATGCTAGCTTGTTTGCAATTCTACTAGAAGTCTTTTTATGCTACACTTGAAAGGTGTTTTCTAAAGTCTTGCAAACAATTTGGGTACAAATAATTTGGGGATATTACTGTGAACTAAAATTGCTATTAGTGCTGTCATCATAGCTTTTAGGAATTCTCAGCTAAAATCAGCACTCCATTTTCTCTGAGACCAAAGGTTTCTCCCTTAAGTGCTGATTTTATTTATGCAAATAGTGAATATGCACTTAATGAAGGTTCAATGTCAAGAAAGTATTTTTGCAAGCATAAATAATATTTTTGCAAGCATAAACCATAAACTTGGTGGTTTTTCCTTTTTTTTTTTTTTTTTTTTTTTCCGTGCTGTTACTGCATCAAACTTAAAAAGATTTGTGAGTTTGAAAACTGAATCATCTCAGCTGAAGGCCACTGAACACACACTGACATTCTGGAGCTGGCAGGCATGCCTGTGCAAACCATGTGGGCGTTCCTGCAGTTACTGTCTACCATTGCTCCCACATATATGTCCAGTTTTGTTGCCAAATCTTTTGATGGAAAGTGAGGGTTTGGGTACTAGTTTCTCCTCTCCTGCAATTCAGATGCCTTTTTTTTTTTTTTTTTCCCCTTCAATCTCTTACCCCTTCCAGCCATAGCCTATATTATCTGGCACTGCCTCCCAGATGACCCTCATCTCCCTACTTGCTGAGGCACTGTAGCAGGCTGAAAAATGTGGATGCCAACAGATGGCCCCCACCAGATCATGCAGAGAACTAGGGTCACAGTTTAGTTCTCTGAATCAAATCTATTAGAATCCTAAATTTCAACATATCTTTCACATGTTGGCCATAAAACAAATAGGTTGTTTCTGTAGATTTATTATGATTAAAGGCAGTTCAGGAACTTATCACATAGTTTCTAAAGGTGCTGTGAGAAGGAAAGAAGTAGAACTGAGCCCAAGGGACAAATAAAAAGGGTCATGGCTGTAAATGAAAGAAAGCTCTAAGACTTCATGAGCAGCCCTCAGATTCCAGCAGATCTAGTCCATCTTTAAGTTTGGAAAGCTGCATGCTCAGGGAGCAAACAAAAGGTGCCTTGAAAACTTTATGAGCTTCAATGTCTGGTTTTTTTTCATTCATATTTTATTTTTTGTATAAGGAATGATAAAGTACCTTTATATCACCCATGAGAACAGAGAAGCACTAATTCTCCAAGTTCAAGGAACTAGTCTGTTCAGTAAAATTTTAAAAACATACAAAAGAATCCTGAATTAGTAAGGATTCCCAAATGCTAATTTCTCTCTAAAAATGAACAAAAATTTATTTTACTCTATTTCCCTTCAAAGAGTTTAGGAATTTAAAAAAGTAAGTGTAGGATGCAAAACCCTATTCCATTCAAAAGAATTTAAGACGTGTTTGTCCATCACTTCTTCCAGGGACTCTTTCATATGTCAGTCTCCTTTTTTTGAACTCTGGTACTTCTGCAAATCCTGAATCTGGAAAAGAAGTGGAAAGAAAATATATGTATGATAAACTACAAATACAACATATAGGCAGATTTAACTATGTGTTTCTCAGAAACAGTAACGCACTTGAGCTTTAACTAGTATGCTCTATATGAAAAGTATCAACTGCCATAAAATTAAATGTGTACAGATTAATATTAACTACTACTAACTTACTACTACTGATCAGTTTTATGCATATCATCTTGTAATAATAATACAGGACCTTATACAAAATAAATAGATCAACCTGTACTATGCTTAACCACAATATTTCAGTAAGTATTTCACTGATATTACACTCAGAACTATTCAGTAATTGTGAAAATTAATTCTTTTTAACTAGAGACATATTCATGTTTCTAAGTTAAAAAAGCTACTTACATTCTTGAGATTCAAGTATTTTTACAATAAATTATTTGAGTAGTTGCTTATTAGAAATAAGTTACTGTAAGAAAATTCTGTTTAGCCTTTTACAAAAAGTATTGTCAGAAAACTTTAACACTGACCTAAGGATTTCTTCTGTTCCAGTGGAAATACTGGCTTGGCATATTGGCATTAATTGTTTGTGGTTTAATAAAAAAGTTTGATCTAAAACCTGAAGAAATCCCTGGGGGTTCCCAATGTGTCTTTTTAACTTGACTCTGTACACATTTCTTAAACTTAGGATTTCACATTTCTTAAATTTGGGACTTCAGAATGCTTTCACTGTATGTAAGGTGTTTTTTTGCATTAGCACGCACAACTATTTAGTATACTTACTCTTCCCCTGACTACTGAATAATAAAGTAAAAGAAGCTTATTCTTCCAAGATCTAAACCAAAAATAACTTTTTCTTTTTTTTTATTTGATTCAGATTTAAGTATACCTTTGCCTTACTGGACAAGAGAATTACAGAAAGCTTATCAGTTGAAGATCACAATGTTTTCAGAATACTGTAAAATGTACTGGAAGAACCTACCCTGATCTCTACTGAAACTATTGTATTTAGAATTTTATACTATCAGTGCCAGTTACAGGTTACCGAAATATTGTTAAGTACCCAGCAATACTCCAGGTCTCAGTTTTAATCCCAATGGAGAGGCAACAGGTCTGTTCAGAGTTTCTGTATGAACATTTTAATTTACATAGGTTGAAAATTAAAAGCAGTTCACCATGTCCAATTAACTTTCCCTCTCTTCCATAAAGCTGCCTTAAGCAGCTCATGAAACATAATGGTATCAACTAATTACTTGTGTTTTCATGAATGAGTCTGATCTAATTAGCGAAAGCATTTTAATGCTGTGCTGACCTTGCTGTACCACCAAGAGATTTAATGACAGGCAGCAACAGAGAAAATATAAATTAAATCATCTGTACTAGGAGTTAGGCACTTTATTTAATAAGTTCAACCTTGGATTTTTTAAAGAATGTGGCACACCACCCATAGGGAAGCAGTGGAATTAAAAAATACTACAATATACAATACAGCAATACTTAGTCTCACAGGGACTAGTGATGCTTTCTTACTTTTAAGACTCTGTGGATATGCATTATGGCTTATCAAAAAAGGTCTCAAGCTAACTATGTTTGAGAAAGTAAACTAGGGATAAGAAAACTACAAAAAACAGAGAAGCCTGAAGATTTTACATAAGGACTGTATACACTTTCAGGGTAAACAAAGTTTTGAAGTACACGCTATACCACCTATTTGAAGAAATATGCTTTGGAATGATTTCAAGATGGGGAGTTTAGCACTGGAGACATTAGCTAAAAAAAAAGTACTCCAAGAACAAGGGAACCTTATGAAACCAATTTAGAAAGTTGTCAGAGTGAAATTCTTACTCCATTAACATCAACAGAAAACACAGCCATTAGTAGTATCTACATTTCACCCTCTGAATATGCTGAATCTCCTTTTTGTCCTTTAGAGAAAATACTTTCTAGTGATTTCTTCCCCCTTTTGTCCAAACCTATGTTTACAAAATAATCTTTCCCATAACTTTTAAAATGATTCTGGCATGTTTATTATGCACATTTCAGGAATTGTCAAAGAGAGAAGAGGCTGACAGACAACTACACTTTTCAATATTTTACTAAGGAAAAATAGCATCAGTAGCACAATTTCTTTTTTTTTTTTTAAATATTCTTTATGCTCCAAACAGAAAATAGATGTTTAGGAACCTTTTATCAAAGAAGAAATACATATGCAAGTAAGTTTTTTAGTAAAGGAAACATGGAACTGTTTGGTTGGATTGGATTTGACAACTATTTGAAGAAAATACAAAATGTAGGCTTACACAGACTCCTGTTTCCACTCATGTTACAAACAGAGTTTCAGCAAATTCTGCTTGCTTTGGACATACCTGTTGTATTTTTTTCTTTTGTCCATAAGAATGGTGGACTTCGTTTTATCTTTCCTTTATATTCTCTACCTATTTGGTGAAAATTCAGACCCTGAAGCTCATATGGGTCAACAAATAAATGAGAGAGAAAATCATCAGGTGCAAATGAATCACATGGGCCTGTGGATGCAGAATCATTCCATGGGGTCTGGTCAATCAGAATTTCTGCGCTCTTAAATGTTGTGTCCCTAAATTCTTTTAGAAAACTCTTAGAGCTCTCCTGAGATGCACAGTGGCTAGAAGTTGCAAAGAAATCCTCTTTTTCAGAGTTTTTGGAAGAATGATGAGAGTCATAGTGTGTCCATAAAGGCTGTCTTTGAACACGAAGAGAATTCGTAACATTGAGGTGAGCAAAATCTTCACAGTCCTTTGGCACAGCAAAGAAATTCTGCTTCGTCCTCCTAATTACTTCTGAAGAACATGATTTCTTTTGTATATAGCTTGGAAGATTAGAGTCAAAAAAACACTGATGATGATTCAATGGCGGAATTAAGGCTTCAGAACTCATATCAGATGTTCCTGCTAGAGAAAAATTTGAACGATTCTGGAGAATGAAAAATCAGCTTATTTCTCTACATTTTACAGAAAACCAAGATGCCATTGAGCATTTTGATTGCAGTGTGTCTCCTCAGAATAACTGACCTTTCCATGATCAGAAGATAAAGATTCTAATACACTCAGATTTTCACTTGGTTTCAAAGAGACACATTTTCCTAGTAACTGAAGATATTACCTGTGGTGTTTTGTGCCTTGCCAAGCAGCTGTAAAGACTGATGATTTTGTTTATAATCTGGATAGAATGTGCTGAAGTTATTCTGTTTTTCTGGGTATGATGCACCTTTCACTGCTGTTTCTAGTGGAGCAGCAGCATTTAGCCTGTATAAAGACGTCATGTCACTAAAATGCTGGAACCAAAAAAAAGAAGATATTTGAGGAGTGTTTATAGTACATGTCTACACTGTAAAATATGAAAAGTTAAACCAGTTGCTAGGACTCTAAGATGTGTAACTTTTTGTTTACTAGAAAGAGAAAAAAAGACTTACCAATATGGGAGAGGCATGTACAGTAGATAATGTGCAACCTGTCTTAAATCTATAAGCAGAGTAAGTAATAACCTGTCTCTTGAAACACAGGAAAATCAATACCTTAATACACTTTATTCTCTTTCATTAATTCAGGACTGTAGAAAGTAGTGTCTGCAATGGATTGGCACATATCATACATCATAGAGGAGTTAAACTGATGAGATCTTCTTCTGTTTTTCAGTGAGCAAACATGGCTTTACACATATGCAGTTATTACAAGTTGATATTCAGTGCCCAAATATCTGTTCTCTTCCTCCTTCACGTTAACTGAATACTTCTGATGTGGAAGATTGTCCTCCCATTTTCTTAACTGATAAAAGCTGTGTATTTTTTATCTCATTAGCTCACTATAAGCAGTCTATAATTTTCCCAGACTTGGCCCAACTGAAACAATAGGAGCACACAATTCTAACTGCAGACCGGACACTTTAGTGAATGGAATTCGTCATCTTAATGTCTATGGCTCTTTCAAATGCTTAGTACTGTGAATTTATAAGTGGTGGGTTTATTATTGTGTAACAAAATGGAAGGGAGGAAGGCAGCAAGGGAAGGGAGGGAGGGAGGGAGGGAGGAAGGACAAAGTTCCTGGAAATAATTAATTGGAAAACATTTCTTGTATTTGGACAACATATCAGCTTGTACGCTGATACAACACTTGATACGATGAAGCTTGAAGAGGAAGCTGATCAAATCAGTATTTTTACGGTTAAGGAAATGTTCTAATCATCTTCACACAAACACAATGGTGACTTGACAAAATCTGCTGAGAATTAGCTAGCTCAACATTTTAGATATGAACGATATGCTAAAGCATATAATTGCTATCATATGCTAAAGCATGTAACTAATTTTTAAATGATACCAGCAAATGTGCATGTAGCATCAGATGAAAAAAAACAAACAACAACTGTATTACAGGAGTGCAAAAAGATTGATCTAATACATAAATCAATTCTGGCCAACCTTTAAAACTTTTTTTGGAACTTCTGGCAGAAGTTCCTGAAGTTGATCAAAGCTTGCAAGAAACAATCTGTTCAGCGAAGATCCCTTCTTTAACATAAACTGAGCAACCAGAGGGTTGATAGATGGAAAAGTAAGCAGGCATTTCTCTGTCTGGAAATGGAAATTATTTTGTTAGATTGATACCTGACAAACTCTTTTTCCTTCTCTTATGTTTCTACAAAATGACAGCCCTAAGAATAGGTCATACAGCATATCATAGAAACAGAGCTTTCAAACAGCGCACTTTTATAGCCCAATGAAAACTTTTTTTACTACAGATGTAACAGTGTTTCGTTTTTGCAAAAGAGTAAGTTCTGCACAATAGTTTGATAAAAAGCAAGCAGAGTCTAAAGATATTTCGGTTCTAAAGGAAGAAACCAGTGAATCATGTAAACCTGATTTGAAAACACATTACCAGATTTACCGTTTATTCTCCATTTTGAAGAGGATTACTTAAGTCAAGATAAACGGACAAAGCTGGTTTTGTCATACAAAAGTTACATTTGTAAGCAGCAATGAGACAGGTGCCAAAGGCAGGAGTTGCCAGAAGGAGGCTGAATGTCACACAGAGGGCAGCAAATTGACAGTTGTAGCATTTTAAGAATGTCAGCTTCCAGTTTCTGACTTTCATAAAGCTCTGCACTCAACGGATGCCAGGATCTAACACCTTTAATAGAGACAAAATAGAATCAATGACTTGTCTCAGTTTTTTATCAGTATCCTTAACCTCCAAATTGGAAAACCTGTAATCCGATATCCCACACTTGAAAGGCTATGCCAATACCTGCTTTAAAATGCTTCTGAATTTTGCAAAAGCCACAAAGAATCTCCGCTTTACAAGACTTCAAATCTTCCACATAAAATGAACAAATCCATATGTTTAATTTGAAAACCTTAATACACAAATTAAAGAACATCATATATTTGACTGTGATTGATGGATCTGTTCCAGCATTTATTGTAAATATCCAATATCAACTTCTGTATGAGAAGTTAAACAAATTTCTATTATCTTGTATTAAAGCAAGCCTGTAAGCCATGCCATTGACTTCAGTAACGGATCAGCACTGATGAATTTGGCTTCCTGCCCAAGTGAGCCATTGTATGTTTGTCTTTTACAATTTGGATAGTTTTTTAAACTTGGTGCCTCAAACTGTAGAACTGTACACACTGGCCGGCAGATGTAGAGCATGAACTTCTCTACTGGTTAATTGTGAAAGCAGAGGGAAAGTCCAAGTTGCACCTAACTGTGCTGGCAAGGATAATGGAAACATTATAGAGATATGTGTGTGTACATATATATATGCATATATAAAAAAATATGTGTGTGTATATAAAATAATGCTTACGTTAATAATATATTTTAAGGAAACAACAAAAAAACTAGAACTTTATAAGTCTGAGAAACAGGAAGAAAAACAGTTTAATTTAATGGAAAGATAAGCAAACCTCAGATGGCAAGACAGAAAGCCAGGATTTGTCCAACCACTCATGAGGATTGACATTAGATGCTATCAAAATGTTGTCAGTAATGTGACGAATTATCAGTGCTGTCTCTTCAATCCCTGGCATAAGAACTACCTAGAAGTGGTACATAATTGCTTTGGTTAAAATCTACAGCAAGGAATGTCTTCATTTGCTACAGAAGTTAAATGGGAAAGCTTAAAGGTGACCCTGAACACAACAGCTGGTAATGTGGAATAATTAAACCTGATCCATGCTTATCACACAGAGGAACGCCAACATCTGACCACTAGCCTGGCTGCAAATTACACTCCTTATTTATGCAAATCCTATGTAGGTGAAATTGGTTCATCCTACAGGTCTTTTATATGTTATCAAGTTTATGGGCATAATATGAGTTCATAATAAAACAGGTAATTCTGAGATGCCTAATATAGTTTAAGAAGACCTATAACACTTTGAAGGTGTAAGTAATTTCCACACGAACTACATTGCTGAGTACATGGAATGAAAAGAGCTTTGTCCTCTCTTTAACCTTCATTTAACCAGATATATTTGAAACAAATTTTAACATGCAAATAAGTAAAAAATTGCCTAAAAAGATGTTATTTCATGCAAAAGAAATAAGTTACAAGTTGATGAACTTGGTAAGACAATGAAATTTTTGTCCCATTTTTTGATATTAATTATTCTAGATACTGTATTTTCTGACTTATAATGAAAAAACTTACTTTATCTTGCCACATTAAAAAAAAGCAAACTAGCTGACAGCAGAGAAAATGACACTTTCTTTTCTTCTGCTACATTAGTAACATAATATTAATCTGAAACTTCAAATTAAGACATAAGCAGGATTAATACAAGTTCTAATAATTTATAAAATTAAAGGCACAATCTCATTTCTTGACTCCTAGTCATAAAAACACTTCAGCTGCTATTTCAGTCTGATTCAACTTGTACTGGAGTCAACACAATCTTTTCACTGACTTCAGCAGTGCTGAATCAAGCTCCTCTCTCTTATTTTAGTTATTTTGAGCTATGTTATGTTTTTGATGTAGAATGCATACTTGATTAAGCACTTGAGAAATATCATACAGTGAAGAGTAAAACAGAAAGGTTGTTACCAAAAAAAATTACCTTCACTTCAAAGACTTCTGACTTTTGTGTAAGTCCAATTAGAGTGGCATAAATTAAAGCAAGGTTAAGCAGAGTATCTCCCCTGAGACTGTACCTATAAAACAGTTTCATTGGACTGTTAATATTTAATATGCACATGTAATAATTCCAAAATGTTTGTTCCATGTGTTAATAAATGTCTGTTTCATTTCCTGGAATTCAGAATACTAGTATAGTTTGAGCATTAATAGCTGTGAAAGGAGAACTAGGATACATTAAGTGATTGAGTGCTGAAGGATGCACTGTGAGAAAGAAAATGGAGTCAGCCCACAGCGAAGCAAGCCTAGCCTGAAGCAAGACTGGATCAGGGTCAGTCACTGCAGAAAAAACATACAGAGAGGAAAGGTGATGCATGGAAAATTTACCACTTGCTCATAAAAAAAAAAAACTCACTATATGTAATGAAGGAATGCTTATGAACTATATCAACAGCAGCTGTGCTTCCATAGCAAAAGAAGAACTACAGATGGATTGGAAGAACACTTGAAGAATGTCTTCCTGTCACAAATCATATACAGTGATGCTAACCCAGTAATTTGTAACCATGTATTTCTAGGGGTTAATTTACTTAAAACAGTTATAAAGAATAATTCAAGTGGGTAATATCCTTAGTCCTGTGAAATTTCTGGACCTGTTGATTCAAAATATACCTCATATAAAAAAAAACACATAAAAGCCATCTTTGCTAAATTTTTGGGGGTCTCCAGCGACCACTGTGACTTCTGTCATACCACTGAGTTTTTCAGTAGGAGCATGACAACACTATAATTAAGTGAAAAGTCCAAAGCACATTAGAAATACAAGCTTACAATATTCATATTGTTCTAAGAGAAATATGTTCCTACAGAGAAATTCAAAGAACAAGGAGGGTTAGCTTGTTCTAATAAGTAGCTTCCTTTAGGGATAAGTTAATTTTAAAAATACCAAGATAACAAAAGAATTTAATAACTTACTCCAAACTCACTCTTCCTCTGGAATAGAAAACAATCCAACAGCACGTATATTGGAGCGATAATGCCATCAGCTTTGATATTACATCATCACAGGATTTCTCATAATGTAGTTCTTCCATACACTACCATAAAATTAATATAAAAAGTAAAAACTAAATAAATAAATTACCATGGTTGTCACAAACTTTTAATGTGCATCGCTGTATTATGCAGAAGTTAGATCAAATATAAATACAGCTAAATAATATAGGTATTAAAGATACATAAGGGAGTCAGGAAAACTACGTTGTACTCCCAACTTTTATTTTGTTTGACCTTCAAAAAGCTGATTCACTGCTTCATGCCTCTTTTTCCCTCCTGTAAAAAGGAAACACTGCTGCTAACTTTTTAGGATGTTCTTAAGATTTTTGAGAATGTTAATAATGCAAAATATTGTTACAAACCTCTGAAGTACTTACTTAACTTACACAAATCATATTATACCTACAGTGAATATATATAGTACAACATCATTAATTGCAGTAGCATTTGCGGTAGCATATAGGAACGTCTGTGTTGTGCTTGCAATGCTAGTTGATTATTTTATTCTTTATCTATCTTTTTTACTTTTTGTTAAAAGTAGGACAATTTATTTTCTAGACTAATTCAGATAACTATCATCTGAAATGGGAGGAATTAACATGCACACTGTTAAGATAATATAATCATAGATAAATTTAATTGGTCGTTACAATATTGCTTTATACAACTTTATTTTCAAGTATGCATCCTTTAACTACATTTAATACAATCCAATCTCAGGTCAAATTTTACATTTCTGTGAAGAAATGTAGGTACAGACATGAGATTATTTTAAACTAGTCAGACTGGCATGGACAGAATTTTGGAGTTAATGAATTTGGAAATAATTGGAAACAATGCATGAATTAAATATGATTATGAGGAAGAAAAGGTATGTTAGAAGGCTGCAGATAAGGTCTAGAAGTAACTCAACGCATAACAGAATTTGGACATACTAGTTTCACTTTGTACCTGCAAAAAGATAGCAGTAGATTCATCTATTGTCAACACAACGTATCGATCCGTACTTCCAAAAAGCCTTAAGGAGTAACTACTGCTTCTTTCAACAAAGGTAATGCTGTACCTGAAGAAGTCAAATTATTTTATTAAATCTCAGTTAAGCAACATAATAAGATTTTGTTAAAGGAAGTGAATAACATACATCTCTTCATATAATTTAAATTACACTGTCTTTTCATACCTTGATCTTTCTCAAATGCTCAAGTTCACTTTAAGACACATTCGAAAAATACATATCAGTGTAGCAGTGACTGAAATATTACTGGATTAATTCAATTATGTTGCTAATCATACTGAATATGACCTTGATATACACAGCCTTTGAGTTTACAAAAAAAGATGGAATACAGAAACTAAGATTGATAAATCAAGACAATATACTTAGATACTCTTTTTGAGTAATTAAATGTATATTGCATTTCTTTTCTGCCTTTCATGATCCTGAAGCACAGGGAAAGCAAACTGAGTGAAAACTCCCTGACTGCCATTGGTATGATCCTAAATTTTTCTGAGTGAAAGAGAACTGCCAGCAGTACAGCATTCTGTTATCTGCTGTGTTAGCAAAGACTCACTGAATGAACATCACATGCTTACAGCTTTCGGGGAGTCTTGGCTGACTAAGAGGGGAAGTTAAGAGACAATCGTCACACTACTTGGCCTCATCCCTAGGAAACACAAGAGACCTAAACCTGAATTTGCTGGCAGGAAGTCCTCTAGAAACTTGTATGGACAGTGTATTCAGATATTAACAAAAAAGTGACCTGTAAGCTTTTCTGAAACTATGCAGCTCTTTGCTCACCTGTTTGATTACTTCACCAGTGCTAAAAGAAACTACTGAGAAAGTACCAAAAAGCATTCGTGGCTATTTAGCTTATGATCAGGCTGAACAGAGAATTTGAACCAGTCAGAGTTTAAAAGTGCATGCCAAATTCAATGTTCAAATTTTAAATGTCAAACATATAAATTTTTTTTTCCTATTGAACTCTAATCAGACACAGCTCAAAAATGGCTTCACAGTTGACTTGAGGATACAGCAAGGATCAAAACTGGCAGGTTTCTTCAGCAACATGGTGAAATCCACCATCTGTATCTCTGGTACTATGTTTAAGAGATGCTGCTGCTCTGTTTCCAATTTCTTTTTTTTTTTTTTTTTTTTTATTCTCTGTGATAAAAGGTACTTTTATCAGGTATTTATGATTGTGAAAACAAAATGCAAGAAAACTATGTCAAAGAAAATAATACATATGTGCAATGATTTACAAACATGAAAATTTTTGTACAGGTTAAAGAGTATTCAAAATTAAGTGAATATTAGATCTGAATTTTACACATAAAGTAGTTTTTTTTTTTAACTTAGCTTCTCCCAAAAGCTGTGATGCATCAGAAAATGAGACTGTTTTACTGTTGTTTAGTTTGGGTTTTTTAGCATAGCCCCAGTAGTTAAAAACCAAAAAATCCAAAGGCAATTTTTATAAAGAATTAAATACACAGTCTTCCAAGCAGCAAGAATCACTAAAGGAAAAAATTTTTAGAGATAAAATTATGTTTTTCAGGGAAAAATAGACAATTAAAGTTGTTTTGATTAAAACTGCCAGCTCATTATTAAACAAATTGGCCAATTCCATTCTGGTTGACATCTGTGTGAATCTATAGAATTAAGCTATCAACTTCAGCAGAAAAATTTTCTTGTCTCTCAAAATGCTAGTAGTGCAACTGTAGTAATGTACCTGATAGCCAAGCAGATGGCTACTCCATGATATAGTAGGACAAGATACATGTCCTGGAAAACTGCAAATAAATATTTAGTAAGATTAAATAGGTTATTTTCACTTACTTGGATTCCAAAAGCTGAAGAATATCTGGCATATTAAGAAGACCTTCAGTTGTCACAAATACATATGGAATCTGTACCTCCAGAAGAAAAGAACCACAGTGATTCCCTGAAACATAGCAAAAAACCTAAAGATATGTTTAAGTATTTAAATAGACATATCTTTTAGAAATGCAGCTTTTATTCATACCCATAAAAATGCTTCTATTATAAATTTTTTCAAAATTAAACTCTTCTGAATCTCTTTGAAATGAAGCTTTAATTTATATTCTATTAGATCTACAGTGACATTCCCTTGGGATAAGGAAGGGTGGATACAGCTTGTAGTAACTGTAAACAAGCTGTGAACTTGGCACAAGTCTTTTATCAACCAACATTTGCTACTACAGCCTGCCCAAAATTAAGTTCATACCCTAAGAAAAACACCTTCCTACCTTGCTGCATAGATCAACCAGATCTGTTTGCTTAGCTTTAGCCTTCATAATTTATTACTCATTCTCTTCCACAGACATATTAATGTAGCATTCTAGGGAACAGAAAATGCTTTCCTTTCATATGCCAGCCCAATTGTTTTTCACAATTCTGGAGAGCACTTACCCATTTGCATTGTTTCAGGAAGGGTGGTTTTAAAAGTCATGTAAGTAACATTCAGATTTTTGCACAGATTTTTCCAGCAAGAGTTTTCAGAATAATCATATTCCATTACTAATGAGAAATGTGTCCAAGGGAAGTCAGCTCCAATTTGCTGATTATGTACAATAACACAGGAATATCTACTAAGGCTTAAAAAACCCAACAAAATATTAATAAAATTAATTTCAGGTAGAATTACTCAGAAAAAAATAAACACATTTTTAATTTTGAAGAATAATCACTGTTTAAAGTCTGTTTACAAAAAAGTATTTACCCTTCCTGAATTTAAAACTGTAATTTCTTTTAAAATTAATTTAAAGATTAAATGCTGTACTTCCCCCCTCCAGTTATCTACTTGAAGTATTCATATTTTCCTGCAATGTCATAATTTGTCATTATTTCTTTTATGCCCTTCCCCCTCACCTTTTTCTCTTTCTAAAACATGTAAAACAAACATGTTTTTCTACACATTTTTCTAAACAAGTTTTTCTAAAACATGGAAAACAAAATAAAAGGTTAAAAACATGCAATTGCATGTTTTCTAAAAGTTCCTCTGAGCCTCACCACTAAGCATTTTACTAGAATTTGGACAAAATTCTCCCCTCCCAGAATGAAGCTGTAGTTCTATATTCTGAAATTTTCACTCCAGACTGAAAGTCCATGGAAATGAACAAAAGTAACAGAAGTTTCATTGATGTTAGACCTGTGTAAAGACTTTGCTCTCAAAAATGAAGAATTTAACTTACTTGCTTATGATATATTTACAATCTAAAAAGGTTCTTTTTTTCTCTGAATTCAAATCCACAGCTTTTAAACCTGCATAAAAAGAATTAAAACCTCAATCAAATAAATGAGCCTCAGTGGGTACGAATCAATACACAGCAGTAAGCAGCAAATGTGGAACAACACAGGATATTAAAATTTTATGTATTACATTGTCTGTCTTGATGAAGTCCTACACAATTTCAGTTTGCATTGCACTGGTGGGTATAATGATTTAGAAACCTCCATTTTTGAACCCAAGGAAGAAGTAAAGTGAACAAGTTTCAAGTCTCGCAAACTCACAATCCGATTACCTTAAAATGAAAAATTAAAAGCTAGCACAAAAGGAAGCATCTTTGCCCCTTTATCATTTAAACTCCTTTACACTTTCTGTACACTTCAAGTTTTACAAGTACGACTGGAAGTTGTAGCTAAAAAGGGATATTTGTGTAACACAAATGCCTCTTTTCAAAAGTTTAGTTAGTTAGATTGTCCTGTGTTTTCAACCAAGTCTTAAGATCTTAAAACAAATAAAATACTTTTCACTAAATATTATTATTAGTAAAAGCACTGTGAACATGCCTCCTCCCTTTAAAAACATTCTAAAAGACAGGCTTTCTTCTTTTAAGAGCACAGGAAATTTAACTTTATTTTTAAAGGCAAAAGAACAATACAATATATGACACTGTTCAAGCAAGGAGGAGTAACAAAAATGGGTTTAAAAAAGCAATATAAATCAGTGGCTTGCTCTAAACATAAGTACAGGCTCAAATAACAATCTTCCTGAAACATGTTTGTTTTACCACCTGAATCTGCAACGTTGAACAAAAATTACTCACAGGTAAAATGATTAATTGATGAAAGTGCTGCTTGTATCAGTGGGGGGCTGTGATATTACAAACAGTATTTTTTTTTTTTTCCTGGAGTTTAATAGATTGCTACAGCTTATGCTTACACATTTAGCAAATTAGCCAACAAGGTCAGCAACAGATGGCTAAGGGAAATCATGATCTGTACCTAACAACTCATTTAAGGTTCTATGCTAGGGAGCTTAGTTAAGACTTCTAAATTCTAACTGCTCTTAATAAGCTTGTAAGGAAGAAAACTTGTGACCACCAATGAGCTGAAAACAATGAGACAATCTGACCAAGACAATAGATGCAATAATAATTAGGCAATGGACAGGCCACATCTCCTTTGTGTTCAGTTAAATAAACCTTTGACTTTGACAGATGAACTATCATTCTCTTGCAACAGGAAAAAAAATCACACCAGAATCTTACTCAGAGGAAAATAAACTTACAAGAAAGAAAAAAGGCTGATGGAAGAGTTCAGAAACAGAAAGTATAAAAATATATAGAAAAGTTCCTGATGAGGAGAAAAGGGAGAAACACGTGCAAACAGCATACAAACAGGAATGCAGCAAAGCACAGAACAAAAGCCACTTTTTCTTTCAAAAACACACATAAAAATTATCATTTACCTTCTACTCTAGATAAAGTGTGAATGAGGGCAGCTTTTTCTCTTTCAGAGTCCATCCTTGCTATGATTAGTATCTGGAAGAAGACAAGTAAAAGAAACTCTAGTACTGTAAAAAAAAAAAATGTTCTTTCAGCCTGCATACATCTTTCTTTCTCCTTTACACAGAAAGCACAAGATTGACTAAGCAGGTGGCAAAAATGGAAACCTTGCAGTTTTCCAGGATGACAACCATAGAATATCTCAAGTTGGAAGGGGCCCATAAGGATCACTGAGTCCAACTCCCTGCTCCTTGCAGAACTACCAAAAATTAAACCACAGGACTAAGAGCACTGTCCAGACGCTCCTTGAACTCTGACAGGCTTGGTGCTGTGGCCACTTCCCTGGGGAGCATGTTCCAGTGACCAACCACCCTCTCAGCGCAGAACGTTTTCCTAATGTCCAACCTGAACTTCCCCTGATGCAGCTGCATTCCCTTTCCTCATGTCCTATTGCTGGTCACCAAAGAGAGGAGATCAGCACCTCCCCTTGAGGAAGCTGTAGACTGTGACGAGGTCACCCCTCAGCCGTCTCTGCTCCAAGCTGAACAAACCAAGTGACCTCAGCTGCTCCTCATAAGTCTTGCCCTCAAGGCCTTTCACCGTCTTGGTCACCCTCCTCCGGACACACTCCAACAGTTTGATGACCTTCTTACATCGAGGTGCCCCAAAGCGCACACAGGACTCGAGGTGCGGCAGCACCAGTGCAGTGCAGAGTGGGACAATCCCATCCCTCGGTTGGCTGGATGTGCTGTGCTCGATGCACCCCAGGGCACCCTTGGCCCTCTTGGCTGCCAGGGCACACTGTTGACTCATATTCAACTTGCCATCAACCCAAACTTCTAGATCTCTTTCCGCTGGGCTGCTCTCTAGCCTATCATCTCCCAGTTTGTATGTATAACCAGCACTGCCCCATTCCAAGTGCAGAATCTGGCACTTGCTCTTGTTAAATTTCATATGGCTGGTGATTGCTCACCTCTCTAGTCTATCCAGATCTCTCGCTAAGGTCTCTCTATGCTCAAGGGAGGCCACAGCTCCTCCTAGTTTAGTATAGTCAGCAAACGTGAAGTACATTTGAGTCCTGATCATTTATAAAAACATTAAAGAGCACTGGCCCTAAAATTAAACCCTGGGGAACCTCACTGAGGGCTGGCCGCCAGCTTGATGCAACCCCATTTACTGTAACTCTTTGAGCCTGATCTGTCAGCCAATTGCTCACCCAGCGTATTACAGACTTGTCTAACTGTGTGCTGGATGGTTTATCCAGAAAGACACTGTGAGAGACAGTATCAAAAGCTTTGCTGAAATTCAAAACCACCACATCTACTGGCTTCCCTGGGTCAATGAGGTGGGTGACCTTGTCATGAAAGGAAATTAAGTTGGTTAAGCAGGACTTTCCCCCGTGAACCCAGATGGCTATGACCACTGACTGTGTTGTCTCTCAGGTGGTTTTCGGTAACTCCCAGAATAACCTCCAAAATTTTACCAGGCACTGAAGTGAGACTGACAGGCCTGTAATTACCAGGGTCTTTCTTTTTGCCCTTCTTGAAAATTAGGACAACATTTGCCAGCTTCCAGTTGACTGGGACCTCTCCAGACTCCCAGACTGTTGAAAAATAATGGAGAGAGGTCCCGCGATGGCATCAGCCAGGTCCTTCAGTACCCTGGGATGAATCCCATTCGGCCTCATAGACTTATGTGCATTCAGTTGGAGCAGCAAGTCTTGAACAAGTTCAGGGTCAGCTGCGAGTTTATCATCCCCCCAGTCACTGTCTTCTAACACAGGGCTCCTAGGGTCCCAGGGCCCATCATCAGTGTTGAAGACAGAGGCAAAGGCGGCATTAAACATGGAGTCCTTTGTCTATGTCCCTATTTGTGAGGTGATTGACCTCATCAAGCAACAGATCAATGTTATCTCTGATTCTCCTTTTCCTGTTAACATACTTTAAAAAGGTCTTTTTGTTGTCCTTCACAGTGCTGGCCAGCTTGAATTCTAACTGAGTTTTGGCCACACAAATTTTCCCCCTACAGTGGTGAACAGCATCTCTGTAGTCCTCTCGTGTTGCCTGTCCTTGCTTCCAAACGTTCGTACACTTTGCTTTTCCATCTAAGTTCTAGAAGATCTCTGTTCAGGCAAGCTGGCCTTATGCCCTGCTTGCTTAACTTCTGACACTTTGGAATTGCCTGCTCCTGGGCTCTTAAGAGATGGCTCTTAAAAAGTGATCAGCATTCGTGGACCCCAGTACTTTCAAAACCAGGTTCCCAGAGGACCTTACTAACTAGCTCCTTCAGCAGCCCCAAGTCTGCTCTCCCTATATCCAAGGTCAAAGTTTTGCTGGTGGTTTTTGTCCTGTCATCAATGATTTGAAACCCAGGTGTATGTGAGAGAAACAATATTATAGAAGACATCAGTATAGGAATTCAGTTTTATGAACAAAGCTGTTACAGAAGAAATCTTAAAGTGGAATATTTGATTCAAAGTAAAAATGCTATTCAAAGATATTAAAGATGTTATACCACATTATTACTGTTGTACTAGACAGATTATTACTGTCACATTAGAGGCATCATCTCTACCGAGGCAAAACTTAAACGGAAGATATCTGGAGGGAGGTACTGGAGGAAGGTGCTAGATGTACTACTGAACTAATTAGAAAGATTTTCCAGAACACAGATAGGAGTACACTGAAGTGTTCCTGGCACAGATTACTCATCTCTGAGACTCATTAAATACTGCTGAAGATGAAAATGTTGAAAAGTATTAGAATCTATTAAACTGACATAGTTTTAAAAAGAATCACTACCAGAGAAAGTGTTCACCTTGTCCACCATTTCAACTGATACAAACTGAACTTGTGCTACATAATCAAAGTATGTAAAGAAGAATATGTACACATACACAGAATTTACACCATACTTTCAGACAGGATGATCTCTGAACTCTTACGCCATTGTATAGACGCTTTCCATGGTGTACACAAGACTTCTAAGGAAGCACATGGCATTGTCTAACTCTTAAGATTTACAGATGCAAGATAATTGTATACGTAAACATTAACAGTGTGTTAGATCTTGTCAGAGAAGAACTACTGGGTATTGGCAGCCTGACAAGCTTAAGGCAGATTTCCATTTCCATATGCTGGTGCACAGAACGACCTGGCAACCCACTGGCTCCTTTCAAAGCAGTTTTGGACAACTGCATTTTAAAATGCAGACCTGCTTTTACACACATGATACAACAGTGTATTCATTACATGTTGTTGTGAGCTAGATGACATTTTTAGTCATGTTCTATCTAATCATAAGTACAAAAGATAATAAACTGAACTTTATTTTTTGTTTCATTGTATTCCACTAGCAACTTCTTGCTTACAAAGGAAACATCTCATTATAATCCTGCATTGATAATGATTCTGGCTAATAAAAGGATAACCAGATTACTATATTTCACATCATATTAACTGATGTGATAGAACAGGAAATGGCTTACTCAATACAACTTTTACTTCTTATTAAACTCAGAATACTCCTTTTGCCTATTCTGGCTCATTGAAACCTGTCTCTGAATGTTAGGGAACAGTAAACAACCTTATAATTTCGAATAAAATAATAAAAATTCTTACATTGTATGGTGCACGACCTTATGTTTAAGTCAAGCAAGCAAGTCAAAACTCAGGAGAGTTATAGTCAAAAGTTCTAAACTTCATTATCTAGTAGAGTTCAGGAGAAAAGCAAAATTGTCACTGAGCTGACACTAAGATGACAAAGTTGTCATATATATCCTAGTATCACAAAGCAAAATGTGTTACTCTTAAGAAGAAGAAAATCATGCTGAAATCAGCTTAGAAGGTCTATTGAAAGACAGATACCAAGACAATCAACACCAACATATTTTGGTTGCTTCATTTCCATTTTAAATTCCAAAAGGGTGTACAATAAGCTATTGTATTTTTCTTCTCAGGAAATTTTAATCAAAAGATGTTGAGAGTTCTTAGTACAACTCTTAACAGAAACAAAAGAAGAAGAAAGCTCCAGGAAGTGAAGTATGGAAAGAAGTTAAAATAAATGAAAGTAAGATTGAAGATTTGTCTTTTTTGGCTGTGTGTTCAGCAGCACAAATTCTATTCCAAACAATCAGGACATTAAAAAAATTACGTATTTTATCTCTTCTGTTTCATTATGTGATAAGTATTCTGCAAATAAATCATAAATACTCTGCAAAGGAAAATGGTGTTTTGCGCTGCATGGTATCACTCAAAATATTCACATATCCAGAAAAAAAAAAATAATCTTTGGATAACTTGAATCTCCTCCACAACTCTACCCTTCATGCCATAACTATCAGTTATGGATATTTGCTTCTTATATAATTATAATGCCAGAAGATTGGCCTGATACATGGGTTAAGCAGAGGTTGTCTATGGATTACAATACCCATATACTCCATGGTGTGTGTGCTCTGAGCTTGTACAAGTACACAATCCTGACTTGTGCTATGATTCTCTTTGCACAAGAAGATTGAGGCCTTCAAATAAAAGGTTATAATATAATTTTCAGTAAGTGATGTGATAAAATATACTTACCAGGGAACCAAATACACCTGCAACAAGATGAAGCCCTGGCAATGTTAAAACTCATATGCATGCTATTTCACTGATGCAACAAGGGGAGATTTGATCTAATAGAAATCTGCACTGCTCCTGATAGAGGTCTTAAACTTTATGCTACCCTTATTTAACAGATACTGTGAGTTGGAAAGGCAATTATAAGACTGTCATCCGTAAATCAACCCTTGTTGAAAGACTGTTTTATAATTATTCAGAGTTTGGAGCAGTTTTGTTTGTGTAGAGAAACTGTTTACATTGTTAACCTTAACACTGTGTTCCTCTCCATAACTTTGCATCCAATTTAACATTTGAGACTGAAGCTCTGTTATTTTGGGATTTGTTTCATGTTTTTTCTGGCTGCTGTACTGTACAATCTTCAACTGCCTCCAGATGTTATTCAAACAGGATTCTAAGATGTTTTTATAGATATCCTTTGCCTTGGACAAATAATCTGTTAATAAAGCAACAAAAGAAGTAACTGCAGTGACAAAAGATAAATGCCAAGGTTTGCGTTTAAAGTTTATGTGAATAACTTTATGTGAAGGTATCTTGCACAAAAAAAGAAGAAAATTTAATGGCTGACCAATATGGAAGGATACTATTACTACTAATCAGGTACATGTGGCTTTTATAAAACTGCTATAGCTCCTGTAGTATCTGCTATATCACTCCAGCGAGAATTACAGAACATTGAATTCTATAGCTGCAGATACCAGCAGCAGCACTGTTATATTTAACTAGTTTATACAGTTTATACTAAATAACAACTTTATTTATATTCCCACTGTCGAAGGCTTTACTTGTGTTTACTTGTGTTTTTACAGTGTGTTTTCACCACTCCTCATAATATCACAACTATTTTTCAACTCTGAATGATGGCTTTTGTATAAAATGCTGAACAATGCTGGGGTTATTTGAAAATGCATAAAGAAAAAAAATATATCTAAGATAGCTATGTGATGAACCACAGAGCACAGCACAACATCACAATAGTGAGGACTACAGGGCCTCTTTAGAATCTGGCTCAATTTTCTAAGTTTTTTTCAGATCTTTTTTACTTGTGCAGTTTCTTGTGTGAGGTGTTGCTGGGATCCGGAAGGACAGGTGCTGTGCAATTCTGACATACTATCTAGGAGTGCTTTCACTACAACAGAAGAGAGGAAGAAGAATTGCTTATTTGTCTCCCTCCCATCCTCCTACATTGTTTATAGTAATTGTAGAAAATAATTCTAATTAGGATTCTACTTCTATTTTTCTTCCTACTATTTTATTGCTAGAAATATTTAAATGAATACAAAATAATTTCTTTTCCTCACAGTTCCATTTATGGTAGATGTTTTTCATTTTACATCAATTTAAGGAAACACCCTCCATCAAGGGATAATTCAGAGTGACTGAACTTAGATGCTCTGAACCGCATTATCTCCCACAAAGGCAGAGGGAGCTTGACTTTCCTAGGGCACTCATAGAAGCGGACTTCAGCTCCTCATGAATCTAGTCTGATAGATCTATCTGAAAATTCACAGTACGCCACTATGGAAACTTGACAAGCATGGCATTATCATTTCAGGTATAAAATTGGTTTACAATGTATTTTCATAGTCCAAATCTGAATAGTGTAATAACAGAAAAGCTCAAAAAAAGCTTCTGTGTGAATCCAGTGCTAAGAATGGACTGTAACTTCAAACTTCCTGACTAATGATACGTTAGATAACATTTCATATTTTGCTTAAAATGCTCTCAGTTTTAAGTAGGTAATTTACAAGGAGCTCAAGAATATTTTTAGGTGGAAAGTGTTCCACACTCACAGAAGGTGGATTGTAAACAACAAAGGACCTGCCATTTTTGCAGGTTTCCACACAGGAACTCCAATGAAAATTTGTCATTCTGAGATATAAACCAACACCTTATATATGTGGAAGTTCACATGAATGTTTCTTAAGCAAAACCATGCAATAACATAAACAGTGGCATATTAGTCATGAACTGAGCATATATACTACCAAAGTACAATCTGCAGTGAATTAATTTCTAATGACAGAACAGAAATAAGGAAGCAAAGTGGGCTGAATATCATATTGAAGCTATGCTGGAGGTGTATCGTTGGCAAAGAATCACAGCCTGCAAACATAAAGGACGGACTGCAGAATACACACAAAGCATTGGATTTCTGGGTATCACTATTCACTACTAAAAACAAACCTAGTGCTGTGTCCAAGCCACATGCTAAAAGAAGATCTCGAACCGTCACCAGCAGGTGCACCAGAGCAGCATATCTGAACAGCATGATCTCCTTCTCATCTATTTTACCTTTACAAATAGAAGACACAGGTGTAGTCTGTATAAAATTTCAGAAGTCAGGCTACAGATACATAATCAATTTAAAAGATCCTGGTATTTCAGAATTTTCATTAAACACACTTAGACAGACATAATCTTGAAAGGTCAGATCTGGTAGCCTTGGCAAATAGCTTAGGCTACAGCATAACTTTTCCCATGTCATTTTACCCAGAGCAAGTGATACAGAAGGAAGTGTTTTTGAGAAGTATGTAGGGATAGATGGTGCTTGCTGGAGGAGTTCTCCTAGGTGTGCCATTAAATGCACACCGCCCTACTGATTTTAGTAAGGCAATCTTTAAATATACATGGAAACTGATAAATTTCCCATCTTTTGGTACACCATACAAGCCCAGCCGTTCACATTACTATTTCCTCATCTGACTAGTCAAATCAATAAATTTTTCAACAGCACTGTAATTGCATCTAACCCATTTTCCAAACATTTCAGAACTCTTTTCAAAGAAATCAAAATGGCAGCTTATCCACTAATCAATTAATCAAAAAGCAATTTTAAAGCAGTGATAACCTCAAATTGTGCTTTTCACAGAATCTTTTAAAATTTTAGACTATAAAAGACTACCACATTCTTTATGGTAAATGATGTGGACCCAGCTAGTCTTCACACATATCATGGGAAAAATTCCTATGTCTTCCAATGATCCACGCAGAGTCTTAACTTCTGGTATTACCTTCTGCACATCCAATTAACCTCTCCTCATGAGAATCTCAGCCTTCTTTGAGAAGGTAAATTTGGAGGACATCTGCTTCTTCTTGGAGTAAATCAAACAATTTATGGGCTACCTATTCTGTATTATATACCCACTTTGAACAAATCTTCAAAGACTTGACTGAACAGGAAGGAATTACTAGTCTGAAGAAGGAAGGCATTTTGGGGAATTGCACACAGGAGGTGGTATAGTTCATTATCTTAAGAAAGGAAATCTGTGACTGCTGCAGAGTAAGTGGACTTAATAGTAAAAAGCATACTTCAAGATGCTAAAAAATGGTTGAGGATGATAATTAAAGAATAAATGACAACAGCTGATCAAGGAATTACTGAACGAGATGCATTATACAAGAAAAATATTAGCTAGTTCTGTGTACTGGGATCAACATAGGTTTTAATTAAAAAATACAAGTGAAGCACTTCAGAAGGAAAAATCAAACTTAGGAACACAGCACACAGAAGACTTAGCTGGAAACAGCATGGAAGACAAAGATCTTGCCGCTGTTCTATGCCAAAAGACAGAGAGTGACTGTTGACCTCTGTCAATGAAGGTGCTGAAACTGAAGGACTGTGTCCAGTTCTTGACACCACTCACCATAAAAACTCCGTGAGGAATAGAGGCCATTTAGGAACAAAGCAAGACAGTAAGAAACCACATTTTGTGACAGAAGACTGGAACATTGGTGATATTTGGTGCAGAAAGGAAAGACCAGCAGGGGAATAATAATCTTCTAATAGATCAATACCATCACAGTTAGCGATTGTTTTCTATGTTCACTGGGGGATTAATGAGAAAAATGCATCAGTATACTCTGCAGTAAAATGGAATGAGATTGGATATTGTGAAACTATTTAAAACTAGGAAGGCAATAAAAGAATGAAGTAAGTTACCATGGAGGTTTTGGAATCTCCTATACAGTTACAGAAATATTAATTAGAAATGCATTCGATATGCTAGAGTCTTCCTCATTTCCGTATCTCTACGGACCTTCCACCAAGAAAATTCTTACCTCCTCCTACTTCTTTAGTTGGAGACAAAATCCAAGACCTCCCTTGCACTTTTCTGTCTCTTAAATGCAGACAACAGTAGCTAAATCAACATGACTTTTTTTGGTATTTTAAACCAAGAATAAAAGGTTTTTACTGTTTTCTTTGAGCTGTAGTCCAAAGACCCATCTATTTCATAGGCCAATTTTGTGTTTGACAACACTTATTTTTGTATAACAAGGGATGGGTAAATATTATCCATTCCTCAGAAGACACTTGCCCTTAAAAGGCAAGTTGAATAGATAATTATTTGCCTCATCAGTATTTCAGCCACTAAACATTTTCATTGATTTCATTGCTGTAATATTACCAATTGGCAATATACTGCACAGCTAACCTACAAGCAAAGAGGGCCCTGAAGTCTGAGTAAGCACACCACTTGGCCCAGCTCCTACTTTAGGCTACATATCTACAGCACGTAAGCTGCATTTGAAAGGATGTAAGTTTCTTAAATGAATCTTGAATCAAAATGCAGACTCTTACATATTTTTCTTTGATTTTGAGAAGCAGTGGTAGTTCTCTGTATAAATTTTCTCATCAATGTTTTCCTTTCTGTGATTCACTGACACAGATACAGACACTGAGTTTCTCCCTCATGTTTGTGAAGATGGTGTTTGCTTTTTTGTAAGCTCCCTCAAATTGAGAGAACCCTGCTGCTGACAATTTTAATATGGTAATTCTATAGATCATGGGCTGTCATTCCACAGAGACCACTAAAAATTTTTTTGTTTGCCTTCTCTCTCATTTGTAATTTCATTATAATTAGTTTTATTTTGAGAAAAATACATTCAGCATATAACATCTCAGCATTGAGATAGCTAAAGTTTATCACATAACTTGTGACATAATATAAAAACTTGGCAGGTAGTAGACAGCCTGCTGTGTTATCCTTACAACTAGTTCTCAACTATGAGCAATACAACTCAAAATATAATCCAAAATATCCAATAGCTTTCTAAGTCTTCCTTAAACACAATTTGTATTTTGCTGTCAGGTTTTCCTGACCCTCTCTTTATCTATAGCCAAAAATCTTCATAAGGGGTCATTGATTTTGCTGGCTTTTGTTTTCATTTTTCTGGTTTTATAGAGTTTTCACATGCCACATAGGAGAGAAATGAACTCAGAAAGAAATTAAACTAATACGGATTTTTTTTCTCCTCATTTCTAACATAGGCTTAGCATTTTGCATCATGCAGGTGTGACAAACAATAGCTACTAAAAGGAAAAAAATAACAAAAACACATGGATAGCTTTGAATTTTAAAATCTAGCATAAAAAAATTAAACATTGTTTGATACAGAAGCAACATTTCTGAAGTATATCTAAAATATTTTAAAATGAAACTGGAATACTTTTTGTATTACAATCTTCAGGTTAACAAATGCAATGCTGAAGAACTAGGAGACATTATTTTGGGAATAAAAGAGGAAATCTATTACTATAAGTCTACAAGATAAGCTGCTGAAAGTTTTATCATTAATTTATCAAACATCTTGAACCTTATGCCACCAATTAAACCTAATTAATATTATTGTATTCGTAACAAAGAAGAAAAAAACAATTACTTTTTAAAAAAGACATACCTTCTTTAAAATGATCATGTATCACTTTCTCTTGCTGTTTTAAGAAAAACCTTGTATGATCAAATTTAACACTGTCAAAATTCCACTTTACAGAAGCAAGTACACTCAGATGTGTCAAATCTTTTAGAACAGGAGTGGCTGCTTCTTCCAAGAGGCAGTATGCCTGGCACTGACTTTCTGTATAGCACAATAAAGAAAACATAATAATAAAGTTTGATTTCATATACTACTACTGGACAAGATTATTCAAAAGACCTAGCAAAACACAAACTACACTGACTTCTTCATGAAAGCTGTAATATTAATAGAAAAACAGTTTCTCACCAGGGCACCTCCTGGGTGGCAGAATTAAGCTGAGCCTCACAGCGGGCAACCATGTTATTCCATGCATTTCATAAAATGATTAAACTCCATGATGAAAAGTTAGGATTTTCTACTCTTGTGACTCCCATTAAGATTGTGATATTATTCTATTGTTCTACAGCCTTCTTCTACTTTGTAGTCTAAACTTAGACTTAGTTCCTTTATAACCACTTGTTACTATAACTTCAACTTAAACAGCCCTTCTCCTTCCCTGGTATTTAACTTCTAATCTCTTCATCTAGCAAGGTTTAACAAGCCAATCTGTTAGTCTCTTTGTGCTTTCATACTAACAGCTCTTAATAGCTTCTGGATGGCTGTTTTACAATTCTTTCCAAATTATAACTGACTTTCTTGCTATTAGCATCCATGACAGAGCTGTCAATTGTGGAATGAGTTGAAAGGGATGTCCTTTTCCTCAGGCAAGAAGACGAAACTCTTGCATACCCATTTTTTAAAATTATAGTTGAGTTGATCACTTCAACAAGATCAGGACTCTGCGATTCCTCATTTTCAAAGATTTACTATTACTTTTCAAAAATATTTTCAACAGATCTATACAAATTATTTAATTTGACTAGCAACTGACTTAATTTCACTCGGTCAATGCATTATTTCACAAGAACAATTAATAACTTCACATTTTTAAGCATTCTAAAAAAGTCTATATTATCATGTCCAGTTTTTTAGCCTGAATGGAAATAGGTCAGATATAGATAGCATAGTATTTTGGATGCGCATTGTATAATTTCATTTTTTTTGTATTAACATATCATTTTCTTTTTAAAGCGTATTTCCAGTCATGCATCTTCAAGGTTCCACTGTTAAGTAAAATGCTTGTGTGAATCTTTCTAATGTCTGTTTTGGCTACAGCTTGTTTTTTAAAAAGTTTCCTTTCCTTCACGTGCAAGGCCACCACGGTGAAACACTTTATTTCAAGGACTGGAATAGGATATTCAGTCTCAACAAATATTACCTTTGCAAAATGCTAATTTTTGTTTTGACTGCAGAAAAGCTATAATTTTTTTCCAGTTGCATTAAAGGAGTCTAGCTTCAAAATTTATTAAAAAAAAGAATTAAACAATAAGGTTGTAGCTGTTACATGATTCCCATCTCAGATGGGAACAGATAAAAATACTGCACTACTCTTTCACCGGTTCTGTGAAAGAAACTCTCATCGAACACATAGTTGGAGTGAATGCATTTCCATGGAAAAATCAAACTAATCTGTGCTAGGCCTAAACTTTCTAGCACTGGGTGCTCCTAATTTGAGGCTGTAAAGTATCTTGGATGAACCTAGGAGATATTTTTCTCTACTATTTCAACTGCATGACAAAATTGTTGTCAGTGCATGTTCTTTGATACAATGCCTTGAAAAGTACAATAGCAAGAGTTCACAGGGTAAGGCTCAGTCACGTATGAGGTAAATCTATAGTGGATTACTACTGTGTTAAAGACATTTCCTACCAAAATGACTGCCAATCCCTTCCGTCTCCAATTCTCTCATTTACTCTGTCAGAGGAAAAAAATGCAAAATAATAATTTGAGGGTACTGACTGGCATGAAGACATTTCATGCCTGCTGATTTAGATTAGACATAACTCGAAGTCTGTGCTTTCTAGTTTGCATGCAATTGGCTTTAGTGTTAAAACAGAATTCCATAGCCTGCTCTCACACCTGTATCAAAATAAATATCCAAATATTTGGAACATTTTCAGTCACAAGGAGCAGAGGCTAAACTTAATAATTTCTATATTTGTCTGAGTAGTGCTATTTAACATAAAGCTACATTACAAAGCTATATAAAATAAAGCATATCCAAGCATAGTATACCTGATGCTTGAATATCGACTGTGACATTGTCCTCCTCCTCTTCTTCTTTTTCCTGTATTCTTACGTTCTCACAAACAGAATTGTCCTGTTTATGAACATGTATATGCTGTTCTTCAGGTTGTAGCACTACATCATTAAACCACAAGTGAACAAATATCACAAAACAATGAACATGCAAACTGTTCTATAAATGACTCTACATGCAAAAATACGTTCAAATTAAGTAGTTTCTATGACACATATATTTTCTTTTCATGAACTTCTTTATTGTTTTCATGGCCTCACATAGTATGGAAAAACCATCGAGAGACAGAGAGAGATGAGGCCCTGTCAGCCTTCACAGCCCAAGAAGTCAGGCATTATCAGGTTCCTCTTCCTTAGGGCAGAAATAGAGAGCTGGGAAAATTAAGGAGCTGGTACTATAGCTCTATAATATAGCTCCATAGGAAAGCTCATATGTCTCTATATGGAGAGAAAACATGTATGAGAGGAAAGATGCTGCAGAGTATAAGGAGTTCCAACTATGAAAAATACCTCAGTGAGTGTGAGTAGAAAAAGTGAGATACTCTAAGTGACCTAGAGACAACATGGAAGATGCAAATGGCAGGGAAAAAGAAAAAAAAATTGCTTATTTAAAATAAGTTTTTATCTTATAGCTATCTTTTGCAACTTGTGAGTATTTCTAAGTCTCCTTTCCTTCTGCCTTATAAATATTGATGCATGAGCTACAGCTTCTGCCCACAAGGCTTCCTTTGGCAGCTCTACCTCTTTATTTCTGAAAGGGGTTCTGGCTGAATAGGTATCTCCTAAATATTGCTGATTTTTTCTAGTTAAGAATGTCAGTTCTCTCAGAAAGCAAACTGATTACACAGAGCTAGAAAGAAAAGAAGAAATGAATTTTTTTTCTTAGTTAAGTTAAAAAAAATTCCTGATTTTGAAAAGATATACAGGGTTCAAAATTGGATCAATGAGCTGCTCCTACTACTTCCCTGCTGTGTATTTTCTGAACTTAATTTTATATGCAATGACATCTTTAAAAAATAAGCCAAAACCCAAAGACAATAGAGAAAGAGCCCTACAAGCAGTGCTGGCATTTCTTATTTTCAGTTAAATTTATAATGACCCTTAATAAAATCTTTTCATTATTACAAAACTATTCCATAGTTTACATCATTTCTACATCAATGCGGTAAGACCTATAAATTTTAATGGATTATCTATATATCAGACATAACTATCTACAACACTGTCTACCTGTAAGCATAATCTAAACTGCATTTAACTTAAACCTCCACAAGCCTATTCGTAATCGTTAACACAGCTTGTCTTTCAATAGATTTGGATTTGCTAGGAGATGCAGTTCTAGTTAGAGTTCACTAGATGGTAGCATAAAACATCAGTTCAGGCACCTTGATCTCAAAGAATCATAGAGTGATCTGGGTTGGAAGGGACATTAAAGACCACCTAGGTCCAACCCCCCTGCCATGGGCAGGGACACCTTCCACCAGACCAGGTTGCTCAAAGCCCCATCCAACCTGGCCTTGAACATTTCCAGGGATGGGGCATCCACAACTTCTCTGGGCAACCTGTGCCACTGCCTCACCACACCCTCACCGTGAAGAATTTCTTACTTTTAAAACTGGGATTGTTTCTTTCTAAGGACATGGAAGTATTTTATGCATGTCTACCGATGTCAGTAACAGATTAATTTTACCAATAATTTCCTCTACAAGATTACATAAGCTTGCAATTAAATAAATATCCCAATTCTATTCTACAGGAATTATTGCTGAAAGCTTTCATGTAACAATTTTAATTTTTTTTTATGCTGGGATATATAACTGAAACACAGACAAAAGTTATGTCAAAACTCTGCCACAGTAGTCAAAAAAAAAGAAAAATATTATTTTTTAATACAATTTTATCCTGAAAAGGGAATCTGGAAGTATGTCACTATCTCCTGATACTTTATGTCACAAAAATTTCTTTTTTAAAACAAGTAAGGAATTTCTTCTACTTCTTTTCTCTCTCTGCTATTTTGCATTTCTGTAATGCTCAACACACAGCCTGAGATTCTTTCATAAGCACTTTCATCAACAAGAACAGGGCTACCAACAACTTTCTGTTTTCTAAAAGACCTTTTCTGCCTCATTGTTTGATGAGGTTTGCACCAACAGTACTGGCTCAGATGGTTCTTTCCAGACAAGAACTTTAATTCTTGTTCATTGTCTAGGCTATGTTGGTTCTACAAAAGTAACAGTATTGACAATTACCATTTGATAACTACTGATACTAAGGGAACTAGAGAGTTAATCTTAGAAACACAAGCCTATTACAATGGTATGTAGTAGTGTGTAACTTTGTACCAGTGCATGACCACATCTGGCATAAAAGTGATAACAAGACCCTTAAATCAAGGACGTTGCGCTCATTATCAGGGACTGCACTTCAAGGCAGGAACTCTTAAATCATTACCAAAGACCTTGTTAGGAGAACAGGACCTGAGACTGCTGTCAATCAAGAAAAAGGAAGATGAGAGCTAAAAGTTCAGCAAAAGGACATGGTGATGAAGAAGAGCGGAAGAAGTAAAAGACCACCAGATGTCTCTGAAGACCCCAAAAAGGACTAAAATGGACATACGGAAATGGGAGTTGCCTACGATAATGAGTTCTGGGAAAATTGTTAATATGTTAATCATCTCTTGCAAGTCTTATGAATATGTATAAAACCTAAAAATATAAGCCTGTAACAAACACAAGCACGGTATGCACACTAGGTGGAAGGATCCCCCGTGCATCCAGCGCTGCTAATAAAGAATACTGAATCACTGCTAAATTTGATGTTTAATTTCTTGGAATCACTACAATTAATTTGATAACTACAACTGATAACTACTATTTCTCCAAAGACGCCAGGAGATCTGATTCAGAACATATGGACAGAGAAGATCTTCTGAAGTAAGCGCCATTTAGAGTTACATTGTCAGAATAGGAATAAACTCATATGTTTATTTTATTAAAAACCACTTCCACCATCAAAAAAAACCCAAACCCAAAACAAAAGCACCGCCCCAACCAAAACAAACAAACAAACACCCCTAAGATATCTAAAGGAAAAAAAAAAAAAGGTAATATCCTTAGCTGAAAACTCAGTTACATTAACGATCATAAAAATGTTAACATTGACTTCAAAGGATTTTTTTCCCCCATAAATCTACTAGCATGAACTAGCATCTATTGTAACTGGTATAAGAGAGCAGAATTAAACCTGGAAGAATAAACTGGTTCACATACCTTTTCCAGGACTATCTACATAATTTTCTTCCTTTCTTTGAGTGAGTGTATGTTTAGATCTCAGCATGATAAAGTTGCTCAGATCAGAATCATCGTCCCATTTTGTAGCAAGTGTAAATGATGCAGGCTTTTGACTACTGGATAAGTTGTCTGGTTTAGAAGACACATCTTTACAGCTGAACGAGTCAGATGATTTGGGGTTTTTCTTTTCTTCATTTAAGAAATAAACCACCTCTTCTACCTTATTCTTTTTTATGCTTCCTCCAGTAAGCTCTTCCATAGATGTATTTGTATTCTGAATTTTGGCAGATGATGCAGTACCCATATGCAGGGCAAAGCACTGCCTTTGAGTCTGTGGTGACATGTAAAGCTTAATTACTTTGTCTGACCTATGTCCTTCAGCAGAAAACAGCTCCTGGTCTGTCACAGAATTCTTGTCTTCAAGCCATCCTAAAAATTAAAATTTAATTTCTTTGCTGAAACATAATTTTTTTTTTCTTTTCTTTCTCCCAGTTAGAGTTAACTACTTTGGATAATTATAGGGAAAGTATTTTTTAATTTCTTCTTTCTGCCTTCCCAGATCATTAGAATCTGCTTTTAGAAAATTTGTACTGATTAGTCTTAAGTAAAAATGTACAAGGCTGAGAAACAGAAGGCCATGCTACTGTTTGGAGAAGTTTTCACCATCTACATGGTGCTTACTACCGGTGTTTGATTTCTAGGAAGTGGGATGCAAGACATTTCATTAGGAAGAAAGATTAAAAGATTAACAGATTTGGTTTTTTAGAGGGAAAAAAAAAAGATGTAAAGCATGCAATTAGCTCCCTCTAAAGACGTGCTTCACTAGAACTGCAATTTTTTGCACATCCATGTTAAACACAGTAGCTAAGCGCTTTACAATGTGTAAAAAGCAGTTAAGTGGAAATGTTCTTTCATGAATGGTACCTATTTGTTTCACAAACGATATACGTTACTGTTAATCCTTGGAGTTCTGCAACCACAATTGGTGCCGTGCAGTCAGGTCATAGTAATATAATAAAATCTAAATAACTTTTTGTACTTTCTGTTAAACTTTGGTTATAAGTATACATAGTGGTTCATGAGAAATTCTTAAGTTTATGAGTGGTTCACATTTGAAACCATAGCTGGTGTAAAAAAATCCTTTGAATAGTATCATAAAATAAAGAATTTTCACTGTAGCATACTCCTCCCACTGACCTTCTGCAGATAGCACTATACAAATATCTGCTTTATTAAAATATTCCAATGCAAAATTACTATTTGTTAAGAAATTTTCCTGTATGAAACTATTTTATTAAAAAACAGTATGGCTGGTGGAGGCTACTTTTCATCCAAACATTAATAGACAAGGTAATTTTGTGTACTCAAACACTTCTGTTCCCACAATTTATACTAAGTTTTGAAAGTACACCTTAATTGTAGTAGTGTTGCTACATCATATTGCTATAAAACATTTTGTTCTTGAGAATAAGAAATCTTCCATTTCCTTCCTTCTTGGAGGTATGTAACCATCACTGTGTGATTCTCTGTTAAAGTACCTATCTTTGCCTTTTTATCACTTTTTTAAAAAAGAAGATACTTACTTTCCAACTCATATGATGTAAATTTTGTGAATGTTTCTAGTTCTGTAGGAAGCAAATTGTTTGCATTACTGGCATCCATATTCAATTGCTCCAAAGTTTCTATGGAGACTGGATCTAAACCCAAATGAAGCCACCAGCCCTCCTCTAGTGAGCTAAGCACTGGTCCTTCTATGTCAATTGGTAGTATTTTGTTCAGTTCTGTAAGCGAATGACGCTGATAGGCAAGTTTAACAGTCGGATGCCCTACAAAAATCAGAAATCAACATATAATATTAATAATCTAGAAACATGAAAACAGAATGTAATTTTGGAAATGAAAGCTCCCAAATACTGATGATCTACTGCATATACCCATTGTTTATACTTCCATTTGTAACTCAGTGTCCATTAATAGACTTAAGAGCAAAGCAGTTAATGTTGTCAGAGTAGGCATACTTTTTACTTATTGAGTGTATGAGTAAGGAGTTTTTATCAGATTGTAGATGCGTTACTAAATTTACAAATATCTTGTTCACTAGGAGTGGGTTTGCTTGTCATGCTTACAATGATTTAACATAATCCCTACCTAAAAAAAAACAACCAACAACTTAAAAAGTAATGACTACTACTTAAATGTGGTAATTATTTTCAACTATAAATGAATGTACAAATGAATTGGGGAACATAACAAGTCAATATACATAACTTAATCCTGAGATTTGTAAAATAAAGGCAAATAAAATGAAATGAAAGAACAATGGTAAAGCGTATTCTGGTGCTGTCAGAAATAATCTGCAGCTTATTTTGGTTTTGTGTATTTCACTTCCTAAGGTGAACTCTGCTCCTGTCAAATAACAACATTATTTTCCATTACCAGTACCTTTCTACTGATTGATACATATTTCAAAACATTACTTAAGGAAAAATAGCACACAGAAGAGAGTTCAACAGATTGTCAAATTTCAGTTACCACAGTTACTGAATATAATTATTAGTAGTGAGCTGAACATTTTCATAATGAAATAAAACTCTTTCTTCACTCAAATTACCTCCATAGAAGGATACATGACATACCAACTTCTAATGTTCCCATCCTGTAAAAGATGTGCTCTGTAATATAGCATCATCTTTTCCCAATATTTTCTACATGTACAAGGAACTCTTCAACATCAATCAGAAATTGATCATGAATTATAAGTTCTTACCGACAAGCAAAAGAGAGTTCATATTATCCTGATACTTCTCTGACTGCCATACCAAAGATTCTAAGTATTCCCTAGAGGGCTCTGTAATCAAAATACTACAAAGAACATAAAACAAGACTTGGAGGTATGAAGTTTAACAGCATTATCTGTTGAATTTTGATTTATACAAAACTACCTTTTAAAGATCTACTTTCTCTCTGAATTTTCACTTCATTTATTCATTCACTCATTCATAACTTTTTTTTTTGTCCATATAGAAGGTTACTTCATGCAACATCACGGTGAACAGGAAGGAGTGAGAGGAGCCATCAAGGCTGGTTCACAAAGTAAAGCACCACCAAGTGAGAATTCTATCTAGACTGTGGTTCCCTTCTGAAAAGGATATTTAAATTCTTTGTGCATATGCAAGAAAGATAACAAGGTAAAAAATGCTAGTCTTGAAATCACGATGAGAAGGAAAGGATTAAGCAATCCTGACCCTATGTCAGCATGAAAAGGCTTAAATTCCACTGTTGGGGGATATCCCCAAAACACAGACAATACCTTCTTCCTGTATCTTCTCTGGAGATTTTGTAGGTGATACTTGCTCAAGACATGTGTTTGCCATATGTATAAATATATGCATACACATACATACATACATATACATAAATATTTACTATTGCCTGTTCCAAAAAGGAGATTGGATTTTCAGGATACTAAGTCCCCCAGGAGAAAGAGGTTGACCGTAGTAACTGTCATTTTCTTTTTCAAGCTCCCCTGAAAAGTCACAGATACAGATCATGCACTCTGTTCACTCTTTCTCAAAGAATGTAACTACCAATTCACAAATAGACTAAAGTTATTTTTGCACTAATTTTGAGGATTTATGATTTAGAGGATTTATGGCAGGATTTATTACTACAAAGTTTTCATTACCTGTTACCAGATAGAGGAATAGGCTCTTCTTGAAGTCCTGTCCACAGAAAATTAACCCATGATCTTTGTTGTCTGCATGGAGGAGTTACAGGTACTTCCATTTCATCCTTCAGATATGGAACATATTTAGCTAGAAATTGCATAAAGTCACACCCAAAACAAAAATAAAAAAAATCTAAATCACAAAGCTACTTGTGAATGAAACACGCATGCTTAGGAATTATACACCAGTGAAGTTTTGGATTAAAATACAAAGTATTTTCATTGACCAATTCACTATTTAAGCAACAAAATCCAAATACTTCACATTCAATTTCCAGACAGTCTGGGGATAATAATGTATAGTTCACATTCCTTTCCTCATTCTGTAATGTAGTTCTGGCTACATACTCTTCCCATGTAAGATGATTTTTATGATTAAATCAACCAGGCACTATGGCTGAGGTCTTGATAGTAAGTGTTCATCCCTGTTGTCCTTCTTGGAAAATTCCCACATAAATGAAGTTAATTAGATGGAAGACAGACTTCAGATGATATTGTGGTGCTGTAACATTCAGATGAATGGACTCAGGAACTTCAGAAACAGTCAGTCAGGATTTTAAAGACAAAATTACTCTTTCAAGCAGAATTAGTATTCATTGTAATTTCTAGGGATGACCACTGAAATCAATTACAACACCAGTTTTTTAAAGCAGTATACAAACAAGCCTGGCATGTTAAAAGTCCCCTACAAGTCACTTTTCACATCCTCTTTTTTTTCCAATCATATTAAATGTGGACATTTTAATGGATTATTGCTTTTTATTCAAATCTAGTAAGGAATTTGCAGCTTCATTAATTTTGGTGTCATTCCATAAAAATTGGCAGTTCACACAATTGCCCTGGTATTCAACTCTCCAGCATTCTTCTAATAGTATTTCTTGTTAAGCTTGACCAGAAAGTAGAGGTCACAAAAAACACAGTTCCTCCATATTCTGCGAAATCTAACAGTCAGAAAAATTGTAAATAAGTGCGTGCCTCCATAAGGAAAAACACTTGTAACAAATTCCCTATTCATTCCAACAAGCAGTAAGCAGCTGCTATTGTCCTACACACATGGTTTGGCCAACTGGCACACAGCAGGCTATGAATCAGCCACCTGCCCAGCTGATTACAGCTGCTCCTTGTCCAGCCTAACAAGCAGATTGTACAGCAGGAAGGGGAGGAAGAATCAAGGATAGTATTAGAAAGCCAGAAAATGTATGGTACACTTTGGGGG